TGCATGCCAGATGACATTCTTTGTCCACAAGTGTCATTTGGGGATCCAGGAGAAAAGTATATTGAATGTAGTCTTTGCCTGTTTGACACAAGTCTGGGCCTGAGGTTAAATATCTAAAGTCTATTTTGCACCTACTCAGGATGTTTCCCAAAATATGGGTAGGTTCCCTGATACTCTGGCACCACTCAAATGGCTCTCCCAGCAAACTTGGCTAGGGATGTGAGGGCATAAAAGTCGGTAGCAGAATGAGGTTTGTGGTTTGGCCTCATTGGTGTCTCTTGGCCTTTGTGTTCCTCTATGTGCATTTCCAAGAGGATGTTAGTACCCAGGGGAAAGAGCGGTTACAATGAAATCATCTGAAATATATCTATCAAAGTAGCGTATAGGTCTGCATGCCAGGATGAAATGGATTTGCCTCCAGGGAATAAGCACTTACATGCATTCGGAGAAGCAAGCTCAAGTTATAAACAAAGTCATGGAAACAGGCATGCTCATGCAAACACAGGAGTCTGCCCTTGAATTTCATGAGGACTTCTCTTGGACCTGGGGGTTTTCCACTGATTTTTTTCTGATAATAACCAGACAAGCAGACACAGAAATTATTAGGAGCTTTTCTGTATTCAATATGTTCCTTTCCTCTGTTGGGAAGAGTAAGGATGCTGCTTTGCTTTAAGGGGGGAATTGAGTCTAGGCAGTTGACTTCCAAAATTGTACCTGCATAGGAGATTTTATTGGCTTCCCTAAGTGCATCCGATGGTAAAAGAATCTGCCCACAATATGGGAGACCCAGGTTCAATCCCTGGATTGAGAAGATCCCCTAGAGAGGGGATTGGCAACCCACTCCAGTATTCTTGCCTGGAGAATTCCAAGAACAAAGGAGTCTGGAGGGCTACAGTCTTTTTTCACACAAATGTTTGTACACCTCTTAATGGACTGATTTTAATTATACCATTCAGTTCAGTTCAGTTGCTTAGTCATGTCCAGCTCTTTGCGACCCCATGGACTGCACCATGCCAGGCTTCCCTGTCTGTCACCAACTCCTGGAGTTGCTCAAACTCATGTCCATGATGCCAGTTCTTCACATCAGGTGGCCAAAATATTGGAGTTTCAGCTTCAGTATTAGTACTTCCAATGAATATTAAGGACTGATTTCCTTTAGGATGGATGGGTTGAATCTCCTTGCAGTNTTTTCCACAGTTTATTGTGATCTACACAGTCAAAGACTTTGGTGTAATCAATAAAGCAAAAGTAGGTGTTTTTCTGGTATTCTCTTGCTTTTTCATGATCCACCGGATGTTGGCAATTTGATCCAGTTAGCTGTGCTACTTGTCATTGGGACTGCAAATATAATTAAGATTGGCCCCTGCCTTTAAGAAGATGAATACCATGTATGGAGTGACAAGAATTAAGATGATAGGTATTGAAAAGAGGGCAGATAGTTCATCTGGAGTGGCTCAGAATGGTTTCAGGAAAGAGCTAAGATTTAAGGGACAAAGAGAAGAAGGGCAACCAGGTGTCCTGACAGAGCGTGTCACATGGAGGAGCAAAGACATGTCCCCCCAAAGCATTAGAAATCCATGTGCCTGGAAGGGTGAGTGGGAAAAGTGACCCCATGAGGGAAGAAGCAGGAGAAGCTCAAGGGAGACCTTCCACCCGATGTCAAGGAGTTTAAGTCACATTCGTACCTTTCACTACTGTTTATGTCTGGAACTTCAAGAGAACCAGTGAAGGAAATGGCAACCCACTCCAGTGTTCTTGCCTGGAGAATCCCATGGACAGAGGAGCCTGGCGGGCTACAGTCCCTGGGGTTGGAAAGAGTCAGACACGACTGAGCAACAATAGCACGAGAGAGCCAGAGAGAGGTTGTCAGGTCTCTGAGCATCTGTGTTTTTCTGCAGTTTTGTGGCCAAGGATGCAAAGCTCTCTTCGGGCAGGAACCAAAGTGCTGTGTTCCACCGTCTGTGTTACCATTTGCAGAAGAGCAAACGGCCTTGTAGCATCATGAATACAACACAATAGAATAATGACAGAATTGAGACTGTAATTTTTTTGTTATTAAGTGTATTTTGAAGCTGTATATTTTTTTAATGGTCAGGAGATTTCTGTGTTTATCAAAAGGAGAGGAGAAACATGACCCACTCACAGACTGCTCGAATGTCTAGTAGAAGTCACCACCTGAGTGTTCTGTAGGACATACTGAGTGTTCAGTATGTCCAAACAAAATAAGTCTTTCTACCTAACATCCTAAAAATAGTTCTTCCTTCCATGGGTCCTACCTGAGCTGAAATGTCGGAGAGCTGGGGTTTTCTCAACAGCTGACCTGTCTGTGTTGCCTTAGCCCTTGAAAGGTAATATAGAAAAGACTATCGACTTTGGGATTAATGCTGCCTGGGGGTTAATCCCAGCTAGGCCATTTACAAGCTATCAAGCTTTTGACCTTTTAGAAGGACATGGACCAAACAGTGTTCAGAGAAGGGTAAATACAACTTCAGAAGACCTTGGAACTATGCCCAAGATGAGCAGTGAAAATTCAAGCGTTTATTCTTGAAAAGCACCACTCGGTCTTTGGAGGGTGGTTGACCTCAGGGAGTATGTGTTTTGATGACCAAATCTGACTGTGTCCTCTGCGTATGTGAGTTAGAACATGGGAGCTGCACCGTCATTTCAGGCAAGTCAGTGTACACAGACAGGACCATAACTGAAATCACATCCATGCTTCAGGTTAGCATTTTGACTATATAAACCAAATTCTTCAGTGGGGCATGAAAAGTTCTCATTGATAACAATTTTCATCTTTTTTACTCTTTACTGTACATCCCCAGCACTTAGAATAGCACCTGACACATGGTAGGCATTCTGCAAAGATTTGTTGAAATAGGTTCAGAAATAGAAAAATTATTAGGCAGTTAATATTCTTCTCAGCATTTATGAGACATCTCCTAACAAGTTCTTGAAGTGTACAGTATTTTACTGGAGCCATATAAGATACTTGTTTAGAAAAATGATTCCTTTTTAAAACAAAAACACTAATTCAAAAAGATGCATACACCCCAATATTTATGGCAGCATTATTTACAATAGCCAAGATATGAAAGCAACCTAAGTGTCCATCCACAGATGACTAGATAAAGGAGATGTAGTCCAGATATACAACGGAATACTACTCAGCCATAAAAAAGAATGAAATTTTGCCATTTGCAACAACATTGGTGGATTTGAAAGGTATTATGCTAAGTGAAGTAAATTAGAGAAAGGCAAAGACTATATGATGTCATTTATACATGGAACCTAAAGAACCCAACAAACTAGTGAATATGATAAAGAAGCAGACTCTCAAATGTATAGAACAAACTAGTGGTTACTAGTGGGAAGAGGGCATGAGGCAAGGGGCCGTACAAGTGTAGAGTGTCAAGAAGTATGAACTATTATGTGTAAATATTACATATAAAACTACAAGGATAGACTGTAGTTTATCATAGGGAATATATCCAATAGTTTATAATAACTATAAATGGAATATAGCCTTTAAACCTTGTGAATCACTATATGGCACACCTGTAGCATATAATATTATACATCAACTATACTTCAATTTGCTTCCCTCATAGCTCAGTTGGTAAAGAATCCACCAGCAATGCAGGAGACCCTAGTTTGATTCCTGGGATGGGAAGGTCCCCTAGAGAAGGGATATGCTACCCACTCCAGTATTCTTGGGCTTCCCTTGTGGCTTAGCTGGTAAAGAATCAGCCTGCAGTGTGGGAGACCTGGGTTTGATCCATGGGTTGGGAAGATCCCCTGGAGAAGGAAAAGGCTACCCACTCCAGTATTCTGGCCTGGAGAATTCCATGGACTGTATAGTCCATGGGGTCGCAAAGAGTCGGACACGACTGTGCGACTTTCACTTTGATACTTCAATTTTTTTTTTAATTTTTAACGATTACGTATTAAACTAATACTGCAAGCTCTGTAAAGCTCAACAGCAAACATACCCAACTCTACCAGTTGTGAAAGGGGTCAAAGTGGCTGGGAGGCAGATTTCAGCCAAACTTAAGAAGTTTGGCTCTACACACTGAGGAAACCAAATCTGAAAGAGACACATGCACCCCAATGTTCATCGCAGCACTGTTTATAATAGCCAGGACATGGAAGCAACCTAGATGCCCATCAGCAGACGAATGGATGAGGAAGCTGTGGTACATATACACCATGGAATATTACTCAGCCATTAAAAAGAATTCATTTGAATCAGTTCTAATGAGATGGATGAAACTGGAGCCCATTATACAGAGCGAAGTAAGCCAGAAAGATAAAGACCATTACAGTATACTAACACATATATATGGAATTTAGAAAGATGGTAACGATAACCCTATATGCAAAACAGAAAAAGAGACTCAGATGTACAGAACAGACTTGTGGACACTGTGGGAGAAGGCGAGGGTGGGATGTTTCAAGAGAACAGCATCGAAACATGTATATTATCTAGGGTGAAACAGATCACCAGCCCAGGTTGGATGCATGAGACAAGTACTCGGGCCTGGTGCACTGGGAAGACCCAGAGGGATCAGGCAGAGAGGGAGGTGGGAGAGGGGATCGGGATGGGGAACACATGTAAATCCATGGCTGATTCATGTCAATATATGGCAAAAACCACTACAATATTGTAAAGTAATTAGCCTCCAACTAATAAAAATAAATTTAAAAAAAGAAGAAGTATGCTAAACTTTTCTGTCAGTGGAACTGACAACCGACAGTCCTGCTCAGGTTATTCTAAAATTTTTAATATTCCTCCCAAGGAGATACAGTGCTCGTCTGGGCCTTGTACAGAGGGAAACAGCAGGCAGTGAGGTGGCTGTGATTCTTGTGGGCAACAACAGCAAAATGGGTTTAATGAAACAGGGGTCTCATTTGGGAAAACAGGCAGCGTTGAAGTATTTTATGAAAAAACAGGTATCAGATTATCTGGGATAAATACGTGACTTTTTGTCTCTTCTCCACAGCCAGTGCTGATTTTCCGTATAACCCAGGACAAGGCCAGGCGATAAGAAATGGAGTCAACAGGAACTCGGCCATCATTGGAGGTAGGCGACGCACAGGACAAGCGCTTCCTCACTTGTGGGGAGTAATCATTTTCAGTAAAAGCATTGTCTAGGGACTTCCCTGCTGGCCCAGTGGTTAAGACTCTGAGCTCCCAGTGCAGGGGGACCAGGTTCGATCCCTGATCAGGGAACTAGATCCCACATGCTGCAACTAAGACCTGGTGCAGCCAAATAAATGAATAAATATAAAAGCATTGTCTAAAGGAAAAGGAGTCATCTAGACTTGTACTTATTTTGCTGCTTAAATATGGCTGAAGATTGAGAAGTACAGATGTGGAGAAACCAATAAATGTAACCTAGCTCTTTTTTAATGCTGACTTACTTAAAAAGAACAGTAGTAGGAAGCTAGCCAGCATCTGAATACGGAAGCGGGCTGTCATGGCAACAGCCAGGACATCTGTTTATGCCCTCATCATCCTCTTGCATATCAAATGGTCCAGAGTAGCTTGCTACAGAAATGGAAAGGACTATGCCAGGCTGGTTTCAGTTATCTTAATAAAAATTATCAGACCATTAATAAGCCAGAGTATCTGAATATTCCAGGCTTTTCTTCACACCATAGAAACCTGCATAATAGTTTGACTCTCCTAGTATAGTTCCTCATATTTGGATCAGTAAATATCACCTGTTGCCGCCTTCTCTCTCTGCTTCTTCCACCTTATTTTATAAAGATGTTTCCTGTCTATCTGAGGACGGCTAATACTGTAAGCATATGAAGGATTTTAAACTCAGCCAATCAACTCAGCTTAGTCAGTAGGTTTATTTTCCACAGGAAGAAAGTGGAAACCTATATATATGTGACTATTAAATTAGAATACATTCCGAGCATGTGTGCGTGCATGCTCAGTTGCTTCACTCATGTCCGACTCTTTGCAACCCTATGGGTTATAGCCCACCACTCTCCTCTGTCTGTGGCATTCTCCAGGCAAGAATACTGGAGTGGGCTGCCATTTCCTCCTCCAGGGGATCTTCTCAACCCTGGGATCGAACCTGCATCTCCTGTGTCTCCTGCATTGCAGGCAGATTCTTTACCCACTGAGCCGTCTGGAAGCCCAAATACATTCAGGAATGGTGCTTAAATCACATTGTTCAGAGTTCTGGTATAATCCTATCCTTCTTATTTTGCTTTTTTAAATATCAACTTTATTGAAGCGTAATAGGTACTTATTTAAATGTAACATGTTAGGACTTTTGACAAACACATATACCTATAGTGTTAGTCGCTCAGTCATGTCTGACTCTTTGTGAGCCTTTGAACTGCAGCCCACCAGGCTCCTCTGTCCATGGAATTCTCCAGGCAAGAATACCGGAGCGGGTTGCCATTTCCTTCTCCAACATATGCCTATAACCACAGCCACAATCAAGATACAGAACATTTCCATCCACTAAAAGTTCTCCTGCACCCCCTTGTAATTCGCCCCCACCCCCCCACTTCACTTGCGTTTGTCACGTGGATTTCTTTTGCCTCTTTTTAGGGTTTCACAGAACTGGAATCACATAGTGTGTAATCTGTTGTGCCTTCTTTCCCTCAGCGTGTTTTGAGACTCTGCCGACGCTGTTGGATGACCAGTGGCCTGTTTATTTGTATTGCCAAGTTGTATTCCTTTGTATGAATGAAGGACAGTTTGCTTTATCTACTTACCTGGTGATAGATGTTTGGGTTGTTTCCAGGCTTGGGCTGTTTGGACAAAAGCTGCTAACTTGTGTTAGCAAAAGTTTTAGTTTCTCTGGTAATTCCTAGGAGTATAGTTGCTGGGTTATTGTAGATATTTAACTTTACAGGAAATTGCCATATAGTTTTCCAAAATGGTTGAACCATTTTCTGCTTCCATAAGCAACATCTGAGAGGTCAAATTGCGTTATTCTCCAGGCAAGAATACTGGAGTGGGCTGCCATTTCCTCCTCCAGGGGATCTTCTCAACCCTGGGATCGAACCTGCATCTCCTGTGTCTCCTGCATTGCAGGCAGATTCTTTACCCACTGAGCCGTCTGGAAGCCCAAATACATTCAGGAATGGTGCTTAAATCACATTGTTCAGAGTTCTGGTATAATCCTATCCTTCTTATTTTGCTTTTTTAAATATCAACTTTATTGAAGCGTAATAGGTACTTATTTAAATGTAACATGTTAGGACTTTTGACAAACACATATACCTATAGTGTTAGTCGCTCAGTCATGTCTGACTCTTTGTGAGCCTTTGAACTGCAGCCCACCAGGCTCCTCTGTCCATGGAATTCTCCAGGCAAGAATACCGGAGCGGGTTGCCATTTCCTTCTCCAACATATGCCTATAACCACAGCCACAATCAAGATACAGAACATTTCCATCCACTAAAAGTTCTCCTGCACCCCCTTGTAATTCGCCCCCACCCCCCCACTTCACTTGCGTTTGTCACGTGGATTTCTTTTGCCTCTTTTTAGGGTTTCACAGAACTGGAATCACATAGTGTGTAATCTGTTGTGCCTTCTTTCCCTCAGCGTGTTTTTGAGACTCTGTCGACGCTGTTGGATGACCAGTGGCCTGTTTATTTGTATTGCCAAGTTGTATTCCTTTGTATGAATGAAGGACAGTTCGCTTTATCTACTCAACTGGTGATAGATGTTTGGGTTGTTTCCAGGCTTGGGCTGTTTGGACAAAAGCTGCTAAGGATATTCTCGTCTTGTGTGAACAAAAGTTTTAGTTTCTCTGGTAATTCCTAGGAGTATAGTTGCTGGGTTATTGTAGATATTTAACTTTACAGGAAATTGCCATATAGTTTTCCAAAATGGTTGAACCATTTTCTGCTTCCATAAGCAACACCTGAGAGGTCAAATTGCCTCACAATCTTGCCAACATTTGGTACTGTCATTCTTTGTAGCCATCTAGTTGATGAGTGGTGGTAACTCACTGTGCCTTGTTTGTCAATAGTCTTCTTCTGTTTATAGTATGTTTTTGTTTTTGATTTTGTTTCTTTATGGCTGTGCTGGGTCCTCCTTGCTGCACAGGCTTTTCTCTCGTTGCGGTGCGTGGGGGGGCTACTCTCCAGTTGCAGTGCACAGGCTTCTGGTTGTGATGGCTTATCCCGTTGTAGAACACAGGCTCTGGGGCGCTCAGGCTTCAGCAGTTGTGGCATGTGGGTTCAGTAGTTGTAGCCCCCAGGCTCTAGAGCACTGGCTCCGTAGTTGTGGCATGCGGGCCTCGTTGCTCCACAGCACGAGGGATCTTCTGGCCCAGGGATCAAACCTGTGTCTCTTACATTGGCAGGTGGATTCTCTACCACTGAGCCGCCAGGAAAGCCCCCTCACTGAGGTTTTAATGTGCAACTATCAAATGACTTATGAGCATCTTTTTACATGCTTATCGCCGTTTGCAAATGTTTTGTCAAGTGTCTATTTAATCTTCCTCCTCTTTAAATTGGATTGTCTGACTTCTTTCTATTGAGTTGTAAGAGTTCTTCTTGTATGCTCATTGTTTCATTTTCTTAGTGGTGATTTTTGAAAAGCAGGAGATTTTAATTTTTATAAAGTCCAACTTTCTAACCTTTTTACAGTTTGCGATTTTTTTAAATCCTTTTTAAAAATCTGCCAACCCCAAGGTTATGAAGATTTTCTCCTCTGTTCTCCCGGAAGTTTTATACCTTTTGTTTTATTATTCAGCCTATAATCATTTTGAGGGGCTTCCCTGGTGGCTCAGATGGTAAAGAATCTGTCTGCAATGTGGGAGACCCAGGTTTAAGCCCTGGGTTGGGAAGATCACCTGGAGAAGGAAATGGCAACCCACTCCAGTATTCTTGCCTAGAGAATCACCAGGGGCAGAGGAGCCTGGTGGCCTAGAGTCTGTGGGGTCACAAATTGTTGGACACAGCTGAGCGACTAACACATACACATAGTCACTGTGAGTTAATAGCTATATATAGTATGAGATAAAAGTCAAAAATCATCATTTGCCAAACAAATATCTAGTTATTCTGAGATGACTTGTTGAAAAGACTATTTTTTTTCTGATTTAATTTCCATGTTACTTTTGTCAAAAATCAGTTGTCTATATATTTGTATGTCTTTTTTCTGGACTCTATTCTGTTTTGTTGATTTACATATATTTCTTTGGCCAATATTACGCTTACTTTATTATTGTATCTTTACAGTAAGGCTTGAAATAAGCAATGTAAGTTCTACAATCATTTTTCTTTTTTTTTTTTTTAACTATTTTGACTATTCTGGGTCCTTTGTATTGCCATATAAAATTTAGAATCAGCTTATACATTTCTATCCAAAGTAAAACGCTATTATTTTCACTGGATTGCATTAAATCTACCAGTGAATATCTTACAATATTGACATTGAAATATGGTATATGCATCCGTTTATTTAGGTCTTCTTTAGTTTCTCTCAGCAAGGTTATATGATTTTCAGTGTATAGTCTTGAACCACTGTGTTCAGTTCATTCTGTTATAAATGGCACTATTTTATTATTTTCATTTCCAAGTATTTCTTGCTAATATATAAAAATATAAATTTCACCTTGCTAAATTTACTGTCAGTTCCAGCAACTTTTTTTTGTATATCCCTTAGTATTTTCTACATAGACAATCCTGTCATCTGAGAATAGAGTTCTCCTTCTCCATCGGCATACTTTTTGTTTTCTTATTTTATTGCACTGTCTAGAACTTTTAGTACAGTCATGAATTAAGGTGATGAGAGTTGACACTCTTGCATTTTTCCATATTTTAGGGAGAATGTGTTTAATCTTTCACTATTAAGTACAATATTAGCTGCAAATTTCTCAAAGATGCCCTTTATCAAAGTTGAAAGTTTCTTTCTTTTGATAGTTTCCTGAGAGGCTTCAAGATAAATGGGTGTTGAAATTTCTCATATTTTTAGTCATGTGCATCTATTGATAAATAAAAGTTTTTCTCCTTTATTTCCTTAATGTGGTAAATTACATTATTTTTAAATGTTAAATCAATTTTACATTCCTAGAATTAATACCATTTTGTTATAATCTGTTCCCCTTTACATATTGCTGGGTTTGATTTGCTAAAATTTTACTTAGAAGGGACACTGCTCCATCATTTTCTTGTAGTGTGTTTGTCTGGCAATAGTGTCAGGATAATTCTGGCCTCTTAAAATGAGTTGAGTGGTATATCCTTCTCCTGTGCTTTCAGACAGACGGGTAGGTCTGGTATTACTTCCTTAGGTCAAAACAGTGTTTTGAGGCCTTCTGAACGCTGTGAAGAAAGCTGAGCGCCGAAAAATTGATGCTTTTGAACTGTGGTGTTGGAGAAGACTCTTGAAGAGTCCCTTGGACTGCAAGGAGATCCAGCCAGTCCATCCTACAGTCCTGGGTGTTCATTGGAAGGACTGATGCTGAAACTGCAATACTTTGGCCACCTCACTTAAAGAGTTGACTCATTGGAAAAGACCCTGATGCTGGGAGGGATTGGGGGCAGGAGGAGAAGGGGACGACAGAGGATGAGATGGTTGGATGGCATCCCAACTCGATAGACCTGAGTTTGAGTAAACTCCGGGAGTTGGTGATGGACAGGGAGGCCTGGTGTGCTGTGATTCATGGGGTCGCAAAGAGTCGGACACGAGTGAGCGACTGAACTGAACGCTGACTGATTTTCTGTTTCATCGTTCTGCCAACTCCTAGGAGAAAAGTGTTGAAATCTCCAAATATAACTGTGGAAACCGGTCTCCTTCTCCCCTCGGTGCAGTTGGGTTTCGCTGTTTGGGAGTTTTGTGTCTCGTGTGGGAGAGGCTCCCTGAGGGAGCCATGGTGAAGAGGGGAGGGGTGCTGGCGGGCCCCTCGGGCTGTGTTTAACCTCTCGCCCCTCTGTCCTGTGTCCCCCAGGGGTCATCGCCGTGGTGATCTTCACCATCCTCTGCACCTTGGTCTTCCTCATTCGCTACATGTTCCGTCACAAGGGCACCTACCACACCAACGAGGCGAAGGGGGCGGAGTCCGCCGAGAGCGCCGACGCCGCCATCATGAACAACGACCCCAACTTCACAGAGACCATCGACGAGAGCAAAAAGGAATGGCTCATTTGAGGCGCAGCTCTTTGGCTCCGGGAAGTGGGGGGCGAGGGAAGGGGGGAGCGCGACCAGGGAGGAGGGCACGGGACAGAAGCACCCTACTTCCTCCCCCTGAGCACACCCTTCAGATATCAGCACAAGCTGGGGGAGGCAAGCGACGGCAAACTGCTGGAGACTGATGGCCACAAAAAACAAGCAAACAAACAAATACTTTTTGATATTCCTTTATAGCTGAGTTTCCCCTTCTGTATGAAAACAAAAATAATACAAAAACTGCTTTTAGAGTTTAAGCGATGGTCAACATTTGTAGGTACTATCTGTCGAATATTTTGTGTGTGTTTAGAGAGGTGTTCTGAAAACCCACAGTAACAAGGCCCGTTTTCTACAATTTTCAGCGCCCTTAGAACGTGGATATTTTCCCTGGAGAAAAGTTGATGCACATGTACATGGCCTCCCGCGTTTTCTTCTTTTTACATAGAGTCAGCCTCTAATGGGCTGTGGTAGTAACTAGTTCGTGTTCATAAGATATTTCTTTGGTGTCCTGTGAATTGGAAAAGGAAAGGAAGGGACAGAGGGAAGCTGTGATTTACCAGTCTTCAGAGAGACGTCAGTGTGTGCCCGTTCTCTGAGAGTTCCCACTGGAAGGAGAGGGTCGCGGTCCCTCCTGTGTGACAGAACCATCAGAACAACCCAGAGAAGCCCTCAGACCCAGGGAAGCAGTCCCTGTTGGATCGCTGGTTTCACTTTGGATCAGATTCTACGCGATTACACCGCTCCGCATCTGTAGTCTTAGACCCATCCGGTGTCTGTAACTGTCAGCTACAGCACCTGGTGATCAGCCAAGACAAAAGGTTTTCCCTTTGCTTTACCTACAAGATCCTGGGTTAGACTGCACGTGTGTCTGAGCACCCGGTGGGGAATTAGAGCCAGATGTTGAGATGTGTTCTCTCTGTGTCTTTTATAGTTGGTAGCGGGAGTGTGGACACTTCTTAGAGAATGCGTAAGTTAGATTGCTCTTCTTCTTTTGCTTTATCTGCTCTTTATGCACCTGTGACAAGATCCTAGCAGACAGTGTCCTCTGAATGGACGAACCAAAATAAAGCCAAGTTGTGATTGTGCTCGTCGTTGCTATTATTCTGGAATCATGTGGAAAACCCTGCCCTATTCTAACTCATCTACTCCATATGTTATTCCATCCTAAATAGACGCATGGCCATGATTCAGGGACTTTGTTTGGCAGATAGATCTGAAGTTCAGGTTCATCACAACCTGGGAATTGACCGTTGCTGCTCAGAGAATGGACATGTCTGGTCAACCAGACCTCAGTGTAATCAGGAGCCTTGATCAACTAATTCCGGCAAGGAACTATTTATTTGAAACTAATTGACTGTTTCTGTAGACCAGTGGGACAACACTCCTATTGGAGCATCCAAAAAATAATTTCATGTATTTATTTTACAAGAAGATTACACAGAAGTTATTTCTAGAATAACAACATTTATGATCATTACAGCTCAGGCTGTTAGACTTAATAAGTATGTTAAAATTTTCTTAGACTCCAATGTTTTGAGGCATTAAATAACACTTTTTTCTTTCTCCTCCTGGAAGGAGGTAAGATGAGGTTAAAATCGTACTATTGATCAGGTGGCCTGCTTCAAGAAAATGGAAATTCTAGTTCGTTTGGGTTATGTATTCAGGACACTTCGGGATACCTTACTTATTAGAGGATCTCAGTTTCTTGAGTGATGGGACGTGTTATCTTTACTGCACCTGGCACCAGTGCCTGGCACATTCCAAAGGAGACAGTAGACCAGTTAATCCACATTTAAGTTGAGGTCACAGAACGAAAGGGAATCCTAGTGCCCTTTTACAGTTGCTGACTTCAGGCATGAGCATAAACACCCTTTATATAAAGCAGTCTTGATCATTCTTCCCTAAAATGCATTTAACATGAAAAGCATTCATTGTAAATAAATAATTAGAACATGACATTCACAAGGACATAACAAAGATTATTAATTTGACCAAGATGACTGCCATTAAGGATTCTTTTCTATATTGTCAAATTGAAAAAGCAAACTTTAAACTTTATGTTTTAAAATGTTTCTGATTTCTTAAAACCTATTTGACAGGTATCACTTTTACACTTGACAAATAACACCAGATGGAAATTTGTTATTTATTATATTTCCCATGATAGTTTTATTCTACATACATTGTCTGAGCACTTTCCCTATCTTTCCAAAATTATTAAGAATTTAAAACAATCAAACATAGCCCCTTCAACTAAAACGTTCCTACCCTTTCTCTCCTCTTTTCTCTTGTCACAGAAAAGTGGAAAATAAAACCTAACACTTCTCCCCAAATTTTCAAATGTAGGGCACCAGGATGCCTGCCAGGGCCGGTGTTTCTCCCATCACAGCATCATTTGAGACAGTCTCTGCCCTGAAGGGGGTAGTAGCCTGGCCAGTGGACAGGATGCAACACAGTGGATAAGGTATTAAGTAATGAAGTAACGTGCCAAATGCATGCTGGACGTCTCCTCTGTGGAACTGTAGTCCTCACCCAGATCCCTGACTCTATCTGTGAGGGTACTATCTATAGCACCTTCTAAATGCTAACTAATTTTGTTTACGTGCAGAAAAGGAAGCTGCCCTCTTCTTTCCAGCTCCCCAGGCGGCCCAAGCTCGGTGCCCAGCCTTGCTTTGTCAATCATATCTGGCCAAAGCTGATCCAACAGCTCACCGGTAGAGCACCAAGAAGCTAGCGGTAGCTCTTTCAGTGATAACCAGAAAAAAAAAAAACACAAAGTTTCCTTTAAACAAGAGGTGTTTTAACGTTTCAGGGGAAGCTGATGATTGATCCCGGGTTGTTCATGCAGGAAACATCGTCTGTGTACAAACCAAGCATCTCTGTTTTGAGTTGCTAGGATTGGAGACTTTGAATGAATGCAAAATCAGTGCCAGTCTGAACTCTCAGCATTGCCGGGGCCGGTGTTTCTCCCATCACAGCATCATTTGAGACAGTCTCTGCCCTGAAGGGGGTAGTAGCCTGGCCAGTGGACAGGATGCAACACAGTGGATAAGGTATTAAGTACTGAAGTAACGTGCCAAATGCGTGCTGGACGTCTCCTCTGTGGAACTGCAGTCCTCACCCAGATCCCTGACTCTATCTGTGAGGGTACTATCTATAGCACCTTCTAAATGCTAACTAATTTTGTTTACGTGCAGAAAAGGAAGCTGCCCTCTTCTTTCCAGCTCCCCAGGCGGCCCAAGCTTGGTGCCCAGCCTTGCTTTGTCAATCATATCTGGCCAAAGCTGATCCAACAGCTCACCGGTAGAGCACCAAGAGGCTAGCGGTAGCTCTTTCAGTGATAACCAGAAAAAAAAATAAAAAAACACAAAGTTTCCTTTAAACAAGAGGTGTTTTAACGTTTCAGGGGAAGCTGATGATTGATCCTGGGTTGTTCATGCAGGAAACATCGTCTGTGTACAAACCAAGCATCTCTGTTTTGAGTTGCTAGGATTGGAGACTTTGAATGAATGCAAAATCAGTGCCAGTCTGAACTCTCAGCATATTTCCTTGAGTTCAAGGAAACTAGCTCAGGAGGTAAGAAGTTATGTTCTTAAGCTCTTCTCTGGCACTTCTTAGCATAAAAGACTTATGACTTTCCCCTTACGACTTTCAAGCAACTGCTCAAAAAAAGAGAGATACCTGTTGTGTGGGAGTTTTTGTCGAGGAGTTGGAGACAAGAGTTTGAGAGTTTTTGTTGGAAAAGTCCCTGTTGCCCTGCGTTTGACAACAAGCATTCTTTACTTACAGGAGCAGGATTACTTACAGGCAGGGAAAAGAGATGGGTGTGAGCCCAAAAGTAGATTTCATGTTGTTGTTGAACATCTGCAGGGCAGCCACTAGATGGCGCTGAGAGTTGGGCACAATGACACAAACCGTAGTGACTTCCAAAGGAAAAGCACATGTCCCTGTTAGGAAAATGCAGTGTCAGTGTGAAACTTTTACTTCCTTCTCCATCTGTTGTTTTCTATTCTTCCATGTGTTCTTTTTCACTCTCTCCTTTCTCTTATGGTGTAAACGTTTTTATGGTCCCTTGACATCGCACATCTCCAAATGATGAGTACCTGACTGGAACCTGTTACTGTTTTTTCCTCCTTTTCACCATCCTGCCCAAGCAGTTTTCAAAGAGAAAGGCAACAGTTGTTAAACTGAATTCCAATGAGCCAGCCAAAAAAAAAATAGGTCTAAATTGCTAGTCCCAATAGAACCGCCTCATCCTGAAATAGATGAGGAACAAACAGTGTGTCCAACTGATTTGGGCTGAAGACCAATGGATGCCGTTTTTAAAATAATGTTTTGGTGAGAGTGGATCCTGAGAGTCAGCTGATGGAGTGCAAGCCATTTTTTCCCTCTGACATGCTCTGTGACCTCAGCCAGGTGGCTGAGCCTCTCTGTTCCTCTTTGCCTTGTATGTAAGATCGAGCTGTTTTTTATCTGCTTCATAACACAATGGGGAGGTGCCATGGATCCTTGGCTGCAGATACTTTGAAACCCAAACATAAAGGCCAAGTCAGTGGACCTATTGGAAGTCTTACTTTCCAGCTTGTGGTTGTAAGTCATCTCAAAAGAAACCAAGCAGTCAAGTCCAAGAGTGTGGAAACATGAGGCATTGTTGTACAGCTATTAGATTCGGAGTCAGGGAGACTGCCAGGGAGCTATTCTGTCAACATCAGGAGATGCAACACAGCCAAGGGCCAGAGAAATCAGAACTCCTTTGTATAAAGCCCCAAGTTCCCACCTAGGTGTGATGTGACTTGCAGCTTACTGCACCCCAGTGTGATTGAAATGGCTTATAAATAAGACAACATGAACAGCTGATATGACTGTTTCACATAGCCCAGTGACTCTCTGCCTAAACTGCACACACCCTGCATGATGGAAACTTTAAATTTATTTCACAGCAGTATTTCTTTTGATACAACTGATATGTGCAACTCATGGTCAATGAAATAGGGAAACCATGTTGAAAAGTTGGTTACCTCCCATGGAGCAAAGACTGGCTGAAGGTAATGTAGATCACTGGGCACATGGATATTAATGCTCACCAGGCACTTACAAGTTTATTTTCCAGATGAAAACGTGCTTTAAGAGCCTGTCTACTTAGATGGGCTGCACCATTTTCTGAGTGTCAGTTTATTTACAGCAATTGCTGGATTTTGAGATGGTTCTAGAAACATGGAGATTCCTCCCATCTTATAGGCCAAGAAACAGTTCTCAATGTCACTGTTTCTAAGTTTTGTTTTGTCAGGTATTTTGGGTTTGATTTTTTTTTTTTTTTCAGTGAACATGGTGAACTGCAGAGGTTGAAGTTGTGAAAAGGTTGGGCTGATATTCTTTCTGTAAAGTCAATTAGGCTTTCTGTCCCTGTGAAATAACCAGGAAATTTCACTCTCTAAAAGCAACAGCATGTAAACTAGAATGAAAGAAGGAAATTATGTATGTATGCCTACTCTTCTTTGTGAATGTCCTTCATTTAAGTAAAATTATATTAGAAACCAGATTGATAAATAAAAAAGTCCAAAATAGTTTTAATTATCCTTAAAGCGATTCTTTGTATTTTGTTCCACTTGTTTAACTTAGAAGCTCTTTTCAACCTTTCAGCAAAGAAAGTTCCAGGCACTGAACTACACATCTCTTTGGAAGGTAATCTTTCTAAAAGCAGTGCAGTTATGGTCACTCCCCAAAGACAGGTCCCAAACGGATGCAGCCTTCCTTAACCTTCATTTGCTGTGAACTCCTCCCCTCCCCCATTTTTCTTAAAAGGAGCTTAGTACATATTGGCTTTGTGTTTTGGATTAATTTACACAGCTTGGTTAAATTTGGTTAGAGTTACATGGTGTCTAGAATATATTCCGAGCCTAGTTTGAGATGAGGGCATAGTGCCGGATAATGGATAAATGAATCCTGGCCAGTGAGCTAGGTAACAGGGATTTACAATGTGTCTGGAGGCTTAGATGGCTCTAAATGCACTTGTTGTACATTAAGAGCTGCGGTTCTTATTATTCACATTGCCTAGTGCTCACTTACCATTGGGAAGCCATTTCCTGCTGATCAATTTTCAGTGAAGCCTTGAAATGGACACCAAAGAAGTGTTAATTCCAGTTAAAAGCCCAACCTCTGTGCTTCAGGAATTCCCAAGGCCAATCAATAGCAATAACTCTGAGGTCCATTTAGAAGGTGCTGCACCCTGAGGTTCTTTGTCATGATTCCACTTTGGGAGTGTGATCCAACAGGTGCAGGAGAATGTCAGAAAGTCCCCCGAGAAAACCGGTACTTGTAAAAGTTCATAAGAAACGAGTTTTAAAAAGAATGAGATGGCCCGTTCAGGATTTACCATCAGCAGCAAGGGCATCTGAGAACCACCTGCCTCCTCCCTCACCCAGGCCCCCTGCCATCCGCCGTGAGGACACGGAGGTTGGTGAGTCCAGTGAGCTAGGTAACAGGGATTTACAATGTGTCTGGAGGCTTAGATGGCTCTAAATGCACTTGTTGTACATTAAGAGCTGCGGTTCTTATTATTCACATTGCCTAGTGCTCACTTACCATTGGGAAGCCATTTCCTGCTAATCGATTTTCAGTGAAGCCTTGAAATGGACACCAAAGAAGTGTTAATTCCAGTTAAAAGCCCAACCTCTGTGCTTCAGGAATTCCCAAGGCCAATCAATAGCAATAACTCTGAGGTCCATTTAGAAGGTGCTGCACCCTGAGGTTCTTTGTCATGATTCCACTTTGGGAGTGTGATCCAACAGGTGCGGGAGAATGTCAGAAAGTCCCCCGAGAAAACCGGTACTTATAAAAGTTCATAAGAAACGAATTTTAAAAAGAATGAGATGGCCCGTTCAGGATTTACCATCAGCAGCAAGGGCATCTGAGAACCACCTGCCTCCTCCCTCACCCAGGCCCCCTGCCATCCGCCGTGAGGACACGGAGGTTGGTGAGTCCAGGAAGATGGCGACTTTATTTTGCGGACACAGTATCTGTTCAATGAACAGGGAGTAGAGAAGCTGAGGAGAGAGTATTAGGGACAGATGCACATAGAGAGGTAATTAAAGAAACACCATTTTCTCTTTGTCGGTGATGACATGGCCTGGTGGTTGGAATAGAGGAAACAGTTGTATTAATATTTTTAGAGAGTTTATGTCCTCCCCAAAGAACCTATGTCCGAGAGCTAACTCTTTACAGCAAGTGTTATATGAGTTATCGTTCACAAATGCACGTCTTGCCTTGGTCACTCTGAAGACCATGAATTCAGAGAAACCTGGCTAAATAATCCCTGAACCGAAGATTCCTTTCTACCAGCAACCCGCCCCCCAACACATAAACATAACAACATTCTTGTAGAGGACCTAAGCTTAACAAATTTTGTCAGGAAGAGAAGGCAATGTTGGCGGGGGGAGGAGGGGGGTTCTTTTTTCTTCTGCCTTTCCACTCATCTTAATTCAGTCTCTGGGTACATGATGAATAACATCTTTTGGGACAGGTAAGTAAACAGGTATGCCAAGACTTTACCAAAAGAATAAAGACAACATTTTTTTTTTTAATACCTAGAACCAAAGCTTGAGAAAGTTTCATTTCTTCTAAATATAGAAATTCAAATTATAAAATGGAAATTAAGACATGGTCAAGGTGAAAAGGCCAAGATGATGAAAATCATGAACTTGTTTTCTGTTCACAAAAAGAAAATTGGAAGATAAAACTCTTAGGTCTAGGAAGGCAAGAGTTAAAATGAAACATGAGGGCAAGCTTTGACATCATGAAAGATATTAAAATGATAGGATAAGAGCTTGGGTTTTCCTGGTGGCTCAGTGGTAAAGAAGCTGGCTGCCAGTGCAGGAGATGCAGGAGACACAGGCTCAATCCCTGGGTCAGGAAGCTCCCCTGGAGGAGGAAATGGCAACCGCTCCAGTATTCTCGCCTGGAGAATCCCATGGACGGAGGAGCCTGATGGGCTGGGGTCTGTAGGGTCTGAGCCACTGAAGCACACACACGTACATACATGTGTGCACGCTAAGTCGCTCAGTCATGTCCAACTGAAGCACACACATGTACATACATGTGTGCACGCTAAGTCGCTCAGTCGTGTCCAACTGAAGCACACACACATGTACATACATGCATGCACGCTGTCACTTCTGTCGTGTCCAACTGAAGCACACACACATGTACATACATGTGTGCATGCTAAGTCACTTCAGTCGTGTCTGACTCTGTGCGACCCTATGGANATTAATATATACCCACTAGTATATATAAAATAGATAAACAACAAAGACCTACTGTATAGTACAGGAAACTGTATTCAATATCTTGTAATGACCTAAAATGGAAAAGAATTTGAAAAAGTATCCATCTATCTATCTATAAAACTGAATCACTTTCTGTACATCTGAAACTAGTACAATGTTGTACATCAACTATACTTCAATTAAGCAAATGGTTAAAAAAATTTTTAAACCTAATTAACTTTAAAAACATTTGGTTTCTGTGCTTCCCTAGCACCTTGAAAATGTCTCTGTATCTGAATTGGTTTGATTAAATTAAATTGTATGTTTACCTGCCAGTCTTTTCCAACAAATGCTAAACCAGTTGAGGATAGAATCCTTGTCTGCTTTTTCCAAGACCACATGTAGTGCTAACCATGTAGTGAGAGATTCTTAAACATATATTCACTGGAATAAGAACAACAAAAGAAGGCAGGACATGGCAGTGTTTCTTGCAACATATGGTTTGTCTGTAAGTTCATGGATTCTTGACAGAGCAGACTGGACTGTTGCGGCTCCCCTGATGGCCTTGCTCTTCTTTGTCATCTTGGGCGATTCCAGTCATCCTGCTGCTGCTGCTGCTGCTAAGTTGCTTCAGTCATGTCTGACTCTCTGTGACCCCATAGACATCAGCCCACCAGGCTCAGCCATCCCTGGGATTCTCCAGGCAAGAGTACTGGAGTGGGGTGCCATTGCCTTGTCCAAATCACGGTATAACTCCTCTAAATTAAATTTATAGAGTTTGTTCACTTTTATTCCAAGCGGTAGCCACAGCCTTCCCTCTAAATCACTGCAAGTGTAGCAGATACACTGATGACTGCCAGGCTTGTCATTACGAACCTCAGCTTAAGCACCACAGAAGCAAACGCTAAAGTTTAATTGGTGTCCCCATCTGGTTTATAAATTACAAGCCCGGCACACGTGGCAAAGAAAAATGAGTTAACGTGAATCGCCTTAATATGAAACCAGCCAATGGAGCAAAGCAGGTAGCTGAATTTATTCTGGATCAAAAGGCTTTGCCTTGACACCTGTACTGTGTTATGTGATTGATTTGGGGAGAGAGTCTTCTCAGGAAGACAAGTATGTTCTGGGAGAATTGAGGCAAAGGAACAAATAGCAGACATTGGGTCATGTGACGAGATTACTTGACAAGTGTGTGGATTGCCTCCTTGGCCGTGTCCAGACATAACCACCAGGAGACACTCCATGGGACAAGTCCCCTGAGAAACCAGCTGTCATCTGTGACGTCAACTCTGCACAGACGGGGTGGGGGTGTCACAGCAATGTCTCAGGTACACTTTGGGGCCACTGCCCTTCACATACGAGTGCAAACTGTTTAAAATTTAGTCTTCTTTACTGTTTATACCACCTTTAAGGTAACCATTTTGATTCATGAGAAGCACCAAATCATGTTCACAGGTCCAGGAGTTAGAATGTCAGTATATCTTTTTAGGGACACAACTCAGCCCGTAACAAGGCACATGGGCCAGTTATAGAGAAGGGAATGGCCACCCACTCCAGTATTCTTGCCTGGAGAAATCCATGGAGCGAGGAGCCTGGCAGGCTGCAGTCCACAGGGTCACAAAGACTCGGACAAGGCTTAGCAACTGAGCACGCATGCACGCTCTTTCTGATAAACTCCTAGAGGTGGGATTCGCTGTCAGCTGGCACATGTATTTCATTCACAGTGCCAAAGGGGTCCTGCCAAAGATTTTACCAATTGACACTCCACACACCCTCATCAACTCCAAGCCCTGGCATTTTTCCATAACTGCCAAATGAAGAGGTAGAAAGTGTTATCTGAATATTAATCTAATTTGCTTTGATTTGCATTACATTGATTGTGAATGAGGGTGAATAGCTTTTCAGATATTTTTCTTAGTCCTTTGAGCACCCCCTGTGGATATGAGCATTTATGAGGCTCTTGATTTTTTTTTCCACCTGGCACCAATTCATACTCCACCAGCAGTCTTTGGGGATGCCTGATTTCAGAACAGGGATGTATCAGTGTGAACTGGACTCAACAGAGGATGATCCAGCAGGAAGACCACTAGGTCTGGGTAAGTTTGAATGGAAGGGCATTTTCATCAGGGAAACGGGGAGTGAGAGTGGGCATGTTTTGGAAGCGGAGGATAAAGGGTCTTGGTGAGAGCAGGGGGCAGTTCGCTGGGACTGACCAGGAAGAATGAGATGAGCAAAGGGACCTTGGGATGGAGAGACTTGTATTAAAGCCAAACTGCTTATCCCACAGGTGATGAGAGGCCATGATAGATTCTTAAGCA